TTTTACTAGACACAGCCCATTACTTCTAGACACAGCCCATTGTAGTTTAATTTTGAATAAAAAAATGCATGGGGTCATTGCCCGCCGTTGGTCAGTCGCCGGGATCGGCTTGTAAAGTCGTCCGCATGCTTCACAGCCGAAACAGTTTGGAAGAGTTTGTGCATATATTATGACAACGTTTTTGTTTGTTTTGGACTTCGGTGAGGGTTTTTTCGGCTGTTAGGGCACACTGCATTTTTTTATGGCGGCAAGCCAAAGTTCGGATCCGAAGTCTACGCCCCTTCGTCGGTGATTGGTCAACAGTAGGGATTCTTCAATAAAGTCTTTGTTGTCATTCAACGAGAGATGACTTGTTTTCATGCAAATTTTTTCATTGACAAATACTGTACCAAAACATCTTAGTTAGATGTAAAATTGCGCGACTAAGATCTACTCGGTAAAAACGTCAAGATTAATGATAGATTTCTTGAGTTATCTTAGATTCATTCTGACTATTTTGAGGAAGTGTATACTGGCTACGGCGTTTCAAAATGGACAAAAAGTATTATTGCCGCTTTTTTCTTGTTTTTCATGTGGAGGTTTTTTAAGGGAGTATGTGAGCACGCTCGTTCGACTCGGCTAGCCGCCAGCCGAACAGAAGCATGCTGACACCTTAACAACAACCACACTATACGATAAAGGCTCAACATTTCTGACACTGGCAGAACTTTATCAGAGCCTACGACTGCACGTAGTGGTACTTAATCGGCAGATCTAGACCCTGTCACACTGAACGAGCCAAGATGTCCGACAATTGTTTACGACCTAAGAATTTGCCCACAATGTAACATTTGTCTGGGACTGCAAAATCATGGCATAAGACGGCTACAATCGTACAGTCTGTGCAGGCCTTAGCCAGTTATTCATTAGCTGAGTCATCCAACTACACTCAACCATAGAGAAGAGTAGGACAGAGGATTGATGGAGGGGAGGGAGAGGAGGATGAGGACTAAGATCCTTCTTTATCTCTCTCCCCTCTGAGGTTCATCAAATAGGATTTGTAAGCGCTTGAGGCAGCACTTTTGTTGACTATCTCATTACAGCATAGCTAAGTACTCATTATGAAACACTGGACTAGCCTTGCGCTCAGGGAAAGGCTGCTGTTTAGGCAGCTAGACTTTGAGTGTGATTTTTAGAGCTCAAACAGATTAGCATCACTGGCGATTGGTTTTTCTCTTGATCCCGAGAGGCGGGGTTTCTTTCAGACTCTGCTTTTCAAGACTGGAAGAGGAAGGTCAATGTGAGCTCCTCTCTTGGGGGAAGGAAGTTTTTCTCCACTTGTCATTCTCCTCTTGCCTGCATGTAGATAAGAACACGCAGTGGTTCAGGAACATATGCACAGCAGAGGGGATTTTGCTGGTCGTTCTGCACTTTGGGAGTAGAAGGTAAATTAAAAGTGTGTAAGTGTTGGGCTGGAGTTGGGTTTGTTTTCTAAGAGACATGCAAAGAGGTGATGGTGATTGGAATGTGAGCTTGAGAAGAGAAATCAAAGTCCTATGGGAATATTTGTTACAAGGTTCTATTCGTTACTTGCTCAGAATATGTAGTAGCTGGATCCACTGTAGTAGCTGGATCCACTGTAGTAGCTGGACCCACTAAGACTGTGATTGTTTAGTAGAAATGGAATGAAAGCACAAAATCACAGATTCACAGGGTATTCAATTTTTTTGGAAAAGTTGCATTATCTACAATCCTTTAATTGTATATGTATTTTTTAAATACGCACGTGATGCAAGGTGCAATATAATAAAATCCAGACTAAGAACTAGGCATTTATTATCAGTGTGTAGAGTTTTAGATAAACTAAGTGCACAGTGTACAATTCAAGCCTTTCCTGGATTTCATGTGGCCTTCAGCAGAGTGGTCTAACTTGGAGTTGTGTCTTGGGCTGTGTTATTTCTGTTTTAAGAGTGTGTACTGTAGACAGCAGATACCAAGAGGGGGTCTGGCACAGGCATCAAGGTTCAACTGACAAACACTGTCTCTAGATTTGAGATAAAGATGAGGTGGGGACTCGGATGAGTGCAAGGTCAACCAATCTGGACCAGCTGGGAACAGCATGTCGTGTGGTTAAGATCGCCTGGTCCCTAGTCTGTTTGTGCTGTATTGCAAACTGTATATGACCCTGGACCACTCTGGCAAGACAGCACAAACAGATCTGCGACCAGGCTAGGGTTAAGATGCACACACTCCAGATATGGTAAATTGACCTTGTGTGTTTGATAGAAACATTTTCATTTGTTTAATTTTGGATGGACTTCTTAGCAGAGATACTGGAAAAAATATATGTTTGGAGGGCAAACTACAGAGCGAGAGAGAGGGGGTGGGGGGGCAAAGAGGGGGGGATTGGAGTAAGAATGAGACTGAAGTGAACAGTAGGATAATACTTATTTTTCTTAAAACTGCATTGTTGGTTAAGGGCTTCTAAGTAAGCATTTCACTGTAAGGTGTTGTATTCGGCGCATTGGTTCAATCAAGATTGGACCTGTCAGTCAGTTGTCATCGGCAACAGGGAGGGATTTATACACAAAAAATGTATACACAAAAATACACAAAAAATGTATGCACGCATGACTGTAAGTCGCTTTGGATAAAAGCGTCTGCTAAATGGCATATTATTATTATTTGTAATAAGGAAAGATTTGTTCTCCTGACACAATTCTGACCATTGAGTGGTAAGAATGTTTCTCAAGTCCTACATGTATTTTGCAGATCAGTAGGCATTAGGGTTTGCATAGCTTGGTGTCTCAGGGAGAGTTGGGATATGCAAAAAAAACACATTTCCAATTCACATGCGTATTAATACACGCTTGTACAGTGAGGGAAAAAAGTATTTGATCCCCTGCTGATTTTGTACGTTTGCCCACTGACAAAGACATGATCAGTCTATAATTTTAATGGTAGGTTTATTTGAACAGTGAGAGACATAATAACAACAAAAAAATCCAGAAAAACGCATGTCAAAAATTTTATAAATTGATTTGCATTTTAAATTAGGGAAATAAGTATTTGACCCCTCTGCAAAACATGACTTAGTACTTGGTGGCAAAACCCTTGATGGCAATCACAGAGGTCAGACGTTTCTTGTAGTTGGCCACCAGGTTTGCACACATCCCAGGAGGGATTTTGTCCCACTCCTCTTTGCAGATCTTCTCCAAGTCATTAAGGTTTCGAGCCTGACGTTTGGCAACTCGAACCTTCAGCTCCCTCCACAGATGTTCTATGGGATTAAGGTCTGGAGAGTGGCTAGGCCACTCCAGGACCTTAATGTGCTTCTTCTTGAGCCACTCCTTTGTTTCCTTGGCCGTGTGTTTTGGGTCATTGTCATGCTGGAATACCCATCCACGACCCATTTTCAATGCCCTGGCTGAGGGAAGGAGGTTCTCACCCAAGATTTGACGGTACATGGCCCCGTCCATCGTCCCTTTGATGCGGTGAAGTTGTCCTGTCCCCTTAGCAGAAAAACACCCCCAAAGCATAATGTTTCCACCTCCATGTTTGACGGTGGGAATGGTGTTCTTGGGGTCATAGGCAGCATTCCTCCTCCTCCAAACACGGCGAGTTGAGGTGATGCCAAAGAGCTCGATTTTGGTCTCATCTGACCACAACACTTTCACCCAGTTCTCCTCTGAATCATTCAGATGTTCATTGGCAAACTTCAGACGGGCATGTATATGTGCTTTCTTGAGCAGGGGGACCTGGCGGGCGCTGCAGTATTTCAGTCCTTCACGGCGTAGTGTGTTACCAATTGTTTTCTTGGTGACTATGGTCCCAGCTGCCTTGAGATCATTGACAAGATCCTCCCGTGTAGTTCTGGGCTGATTCCTCACCGTTCTCATGAACATTGCAACTCCACGAGGTGAGATCTTGCATGGAGCCCCAGGCCGAGGGAGATTGACAGTTCTTTTGTGTTTCTTCCATTTGCGAATAATCGCACCAACTGTTGTCACCTTCTCACCAAGCTGCTTGGCGATGGTCTTGTAGCCCATTACAGCCTTTTGTAGGTCTACAATCTTGTTCCTGACATCCTTGGAGAGCTCTTTGGTCTTGGCCATGGTGGAGAGTTTGGAATCTGATTGATTGATTGCTTCTGTGGACAGGTGTCTTTTATACAGGTAACAAGCTGAGATTAGGAGCACTCCCTTTAAGAGTGTGCTCCTAATCTCAGCTCGTTACCTGTATAAAAGACACCTGGGAGCCAGAAATCTTTCTGATTGAGAGGGGGTCAAATACTTATTTCCCTCATTAAAATTAAAATCAATTTATAACATTTTTGACATGCGTTTTTCTGGATTTTGTTGTTGTTATTCTGTCTCTCACTGTTCAAATAAATTTACCATTAAAATTATAGACTGATCATTTCTTTGTCAGTGGGCAAACGTACAAAATCAGCATGGGATCAAATACTTTTTTCCCTCACTGTACATGTGTGAAATATGACAAATATAAGCTTGCAACGCCAGGGTTGTGGGTTCGATTCCCACGGGGGACAAGTAAGAAAATGTAGGCACTAGATACTGTAAGTCGCTCTGGATAAGAGCATCTGCTAAATTACTAAAATATAAAATATATTATTATTATCTGTGACCTGCTTCTGGTAGAAGTTGGGATCTGGTAGTTGTCCCATTCAGTTAACTGGGAGGTTATTTGGTACTGGGTATGTTACTCTCACAACTCCTTTATACATATATGGACTGCCAAATAATTTGGTCCTTTTGTTTGAAGAGTGACAAAGAAACGCTTGTTATAATACCCCCCAAAACTGTCACAACTGCCCTGTCGCTGTCAATTGAGTCAGTGGTCGTTTCTAGGGTTCTAAGTGTGATATTTGATTCTTACGGAATCACGTTTAGGAGGGCTTTAGCATGTTAATGAGGTTTAGCACACTGCACAATGGGACTCATTCCAAGTGGTCTTTGAGTAGCGTTGTCCATTTAAACTCTCCATTCGCAGTCTGCAACATGGAGGGAGAACTCAGAGGCATTGTGGATAAGTTTGCCTTTGATTCTAAGATTGATTCTAGTAACCGCACACAGCAATGGAAAGTTTGATGTTCTGTTGACTTTATTTCTGGGCATTAAAACAATGTTTATTTATTTCTTGAAGAAATGTGTGTGTGTGTGTGTGTGTGTGTGTGTGTGTGTGTGTGTGTGTGTGTGTTTATTTTGTATGACAAACACTACCAGTCAAACTTTGGACACACTTACTCATTTAAGGGTTTTTCTTCATTTTTACTATTTTTGACATTTGTAAAATAATAGTGAAGACATCAAAACTATGAAATACCACATATGGAATCATGTAGTAACCAAAAAAGTGTTAAACAAATCAAAATATATTTTATATTTGAGATTTTTCAAATAGCCACCCTTTGCCTTGATGATAGCTTTGCACACTCTTGGCATTTTCTCAACCAGCTTCATGAGGTAGTCACCTGGAATGCATTTTTCAATTAACAGGTGTGCCTCGAAATGTGTGGAATTTCTTTCCTTCTTAATGCGTTTGAGCCAATCAGTTGTGTTGTGACAAGGTAGGGGGGTATACAGAAGATAGCCCTATTATTCTTAAAGTGCAGTCGCAAAAACCATCAAGCACTATGATGAAACTGGCTCTCATGAGGACCACAACAGGAATGGAAGACCCAGAGTTACCTCTGCTGCAGAGGATACGATCATTAGAGTTACCAGCCTCAGAAATCGCAGCCCAAATAAATGCTTCACAGAGTTCAAGTCACAGACACATCTCAACATCAACTGTTCAGAGGGGACTGTGTGAATCAGGACTTCATGGTCGAATTGCTGCAAAGAAACCACTAAAGGACACTAATAAGAAGAGACCTGCTTGGGCCAAGAAACACGAGCTATGGACATTAGAACGGTGGAAATGTGTCCTTTGGTCTGGAGTCCAAATTTGATTTTTGGTTCCAACCGCTGTGTCTTTGTGAGACGTGGTGTGGGTGAACAGATGATCTCCGCATGTGTAGTTCCCACCATAAAGCATGGAGGAGGAGGTGTTATGGTGTGGGGGGTGCTTTGCTGGTGATACTGTCTGTGATTTATTTAGAATTCAAGGCACACTTAACCAGCATGGCTATCCAGCATTCTGCAGTGATACGCCATCCCATCTGGTTTGGGCTTAGCGGGACTATCATTTGTTTTTCAACAGGACAATGACCCAACACACCTCCAGGCTGTGTAAGGGCTATTTGACCAAGAAGGAGAGTGATGGAGTGCTGCATCAGATGACCTGGCCTCCACAATCCCCCGACCTCAACCCAATTGAGATGGTTTGGGATGAGTCGGACGGCAGAGGAAAAGCAGCCAACAAGTGCTCAGCATATGTGGGAACTCCTTCAAGACTGTTGGAAAAGCATTCCAGGTGAAGCTGGTAGAGAGAATGCCAAGAGTGTGCAAAGCTATTTGAATTATCTCAAATATTAAATATATTTTGATTTGTTTAACACTTTTTTGGTTAATACATGATTCCATATGTTATTTCATAGTTTTGATGTCTTCACTATTATTCTACAATGTAAAACTAGTAGAAATAAAGAAACTGTTGAATGAGTAGGTGTGTCCAAACTTTTGACTGGTACTGTATGTCATTGAAATGTACCACAGAGTATAGTACTGTATGTCTGTGTTTTTCTAGTTACTGTTTGTTTGAGACATCTTTCTCTATTGGATATAAACAAATCTAAGTTTATTGGTGTTATACACAGTTTAGCAGATGTTATAGCGTGTGCAGCGAAATGCTTGTGTTACTAGCTCCCAACAGTGCAGTAAAATGTCAAACAAGTACACAAATAATCAAAAACAAGAAATCAAGAAATGTCAGAATGAATCCAATTAACTACCCAAATAACACTGTATCAGTAATCCAAATGCAATCTATGTGTATATACACCGAAAAGATACACTGAGTATACAAAACGTTAAGAATGCTCTTTCCATGACAGACTGACCAGGTCAATCCAGGTGAAAGCTATGATCCCTTATTGATGTCACTTGTTAAATCCACTTCAATCCGTGTAGATAAAGGGGAGGAAACCGGTTAAAGGAGAATTTTTAAGCCTTGAGACAATTGTGGGTGTGTGCTATTCAGAGGGTGAATGGGCAAGACAAAAAATGTAAATGTCTTTGAAAGGGGTATGGTAGTAGGTGCCAGGCACACCGGTTTGAGGGTGTCAAGAACAGCAACGCTGCTGGGTTTTTCACGCTCAACAGTTTCCTGTGTGTATCAAGAATGATCCACCACCAAAAAACATCCAGCCAACTACACAACTGTGGGGAGCATTGGAGTCAACATGGGCCAGCATCCCTGTGGAACGCTTTCGACACCTTGTAGAGTCCATGCCCCGACGAATTGAGGCTGTTCTGATGGCAAAATTGCGACTGAATATTAGGAAGGTGTTCTTAATGTTTTGTACACTCAGTTTATATTAAGAATGATATGTACAGCAGTATATATATATATTAGCTATGACAAGAATCCAGTAAAAGGCACATGACAGCCCGCTTGGAGTTTGCCAAAAGGCACCTAAATACTCTCAGACCATGAGAAACAAGATTATCTGGTCTGATGAAACCAAGATTGAACTCTTTGGCCTGAATGCCAAGCTTCACGTCTGGAGGAAACCTGTCACCATGCTGTGGGGATGTTTTTCAGTGGCAGGGGCTGGGAGACTAGTCAGGATCGAGGCAAAGATGAACGGAGCAAAGTACAGAGAGATCCTTGATGAAAACCTGCTCCAGAGTGCTCAGGACCTCAGACTGGGACAAAGGTTCACCTTCCAACAGGACAATGACCCTAAGCACACAGCCAAGACAATGCAGGAGTGGCTTCGGGACAAGTCTCTGAATGTCCTTCAGTGGCCCAGCCAGAGGCCGGACTTGAACCCGATCGAACATCTCTGGAGAGACCTGAAAATAGCTGTGCAGCAACGCTCCCCATCCAACCTGACAGAACTTGAGAGGATGTGCAGAGAAGAATGGGAGAAACTCCCCAAATACAGGTGTGCCACGCTTGTAGCGTCATACCCAAGAAGATTCAAGGCTGTAATCGCTGCCAAAGGTGCTTCAACAATGTACTGATAAAGGGTCTGAATACTTATGTGATATTTCAGTTTTATATTTTTAATAAATTAGCCATTTCTAAAAACCTGTTTTTGCTTTGTCATTATGGGGTATTGTGTGTAGATTGAGGGGGAAAAAACCATTACATCCATTTTACAATAAGGCTGTAACGTAACAATGTGGAAAAAGTCCAGGGGTCTGAATACTTTCCGAATGCACTGTATACACTCAACAAAAATAGAAACACAACATGCAACAATTTCAAAGATTTTACTGAGTTACAGTTCATGTAAGGAAATCTGTCAATTTAAATAAATAAATTAGGCCCTAATCTATGGATTTCACATGACTGTGAATACAGATACTGTATGCATCTGTTGGTCACAGATACCCCCCCAAAAAAGTAGGGGCGCGGATCAGAAAACCAGTCAGTATCTGGTGTGACCACCATTTGCCTCATGCAGCGCGACACATCTCCTTTGCATAGAGTTGTTCAGGCTGTTGATTGAATATTGTCCCACTCCTCTTCAATGGCTCTGCGAAGTTGCTGGATATTGGCGGGAACTGGAACACGCTGTCGTACACGTCTATCCAGAGCATCCCAAACATGTTCAATGGGTGAATTGTCTGGTGAGTATGCAGGCCATGGAAGAACTGGGACAATTTCAGCTTCCAGGAATTGTGTACAGATCCTTGTGACATGGGGCTGGACATTATCCACCTGAGGTGATGGCGGCTGATGAATGGCACGACAATGGGCCTCAGGATCTCGTCACGGTGTCACTGTGCTTTCAAATTGCCATCGATAAAATGCAATTGTATTCGCTGTCCGTAGCTTATGCCTGCCCATACCATAACCCCACCACCACTATGGGGCACTCTGTTCACAACGTTGACATTTGCCCTGTACAGTTGGAGGCGGCTTATGGTAGAGAAATTAACATTCCATTCTCTGGCATCAGCATTCTAAAGGTGATTGTTGGAGGACATTGTCAGTAATGCAAACGAGATCTTGGGAACTGAGTGTGTCTAAAGTCAACTCTCTGATTTAGATGATCATAGATTATATTATTAGAGACTATATTATATTAGATTACGTTTTTATAACGCTATATGCAGTAAATGCTTCTGGAATCAAATGTTATGTTCTACAAAGGGTGGCAAAAGTATTCTGGTATGACTTTGCTGATAAATTATTTGTGAAGGCAGTGTTTTCTTTGCGGGGGTGGTGTGGGGGGCTGCCACGAGTCCAATACTAATGCCAATGTTTATCTAACGCTGGCGTTCTCTCTTTGGTCTACAGGACCTCGGCTCGTTTGCCATGCCCTTCTTGGAGGGAGATGCCGACCATGTGGATAAGGCCGACATACAGAAGGTACAGTGATGTCCCGAGCCCGGCACACCCTCACCACTACCATTTTTTTTGTATTTATTTATCTGTATATGTTATGTAGGTAGGTAGGTAGGTAGGTAGGTAGGTAGGTAGGAGGTTGGTAACGGGTTGTCATGTGCCTTTTACTGAGGAGTGGCTTGCGTCTGGCCACTTTACCATAAAGGCCTGATTGGTGGAGTACTGCAGAGATGGTTGTCCTTCTGGAAGGTTCTCCCATCTCCACAGAGGAACTCTGGAGCTCTGTCAAAGTGACCATCGGGTTCTTGGTCACCTCCCTGACCAATGCCCTTCTCCCCCGTTTGGTCTGGCGGCCAGCTCTAGGAAGAGTCTTGGTGGTTCCTAACTTCTTCCATTTAAGAATAATGGAGGCCACTGTGATCTTGGGGACCTTCAATGCTGCAGAAGGTTTTTGGTACCCTTCCCCAGATCTGTGCCTCGACACAATCCTGTCTCGGAGCTCTACGGACAATTCCTTCGACTTCATGGCTTGGTTTTTGCTCTGACATGCACTGTCAACTGTGGGACCTTATATAGACGTGTGTTCCTTTCCAAATCATGTCCAATCAATATAATTTACCACAGGTGGACTCCAATCAAGTTGTAGAAACATGTCAAGGATGATCAATGGAAACAAGATGCACCTGAGCTCAGTTTCGAGTCTCATAGCAAAGGGTCTGAATACTTATGTAAATAAGGTATTTCAGTTTCTTTTTTTTTTTATACATTTGCTAACATTTCTAAAACCCAGTTTTTGCTTTGTCATTATGGGTATTGTTTGTAGATTTGTTTTATTTAATCCATTTTAGAATAAGGCTGTAATGTAACAGAATGTGGAAAAATGAAGGGCTCTGAATACTTTGAGAATGCACTGTATATTATTGTTTGGATAACCTTATTTACTATTATGTATTGATTTTTACCTTTCATTTTTTTCACTCTTTATGCGATGTGCACTGCAGAGAACACCGGAAGAAGAATTACCACAGTGAATTATTTTAGTATTTGTTTATGTGTCAATTAATCCCATAAGGGATGGGTTGCCAATTGGCGATTTGACACGAAAATCAAATGTAATTAATTAATTCATTAATTTCATTCATACTAGTGTGCACTGGGAAAATATCAATCTTTAATATTTTTGTATTTTCACCGGTTCATATCTATCTACTATTGAGAATCCAGAGATGGTTGGGGTTAATTTATAGACTGATGGTGTTGTCTAGATGTGCTTCAGCCAACTTTAATATTTTAATCTTCATCATTACCATATTAAAATGCCATCACATAATTGTAAGCCTACTGTAGCTCTAGTGGGGATTGCAGCACTGACATTGGCGTTTGGTCTCTATTTAACCTCTACGGGATCGGTGTCCCGTATATGGGACGGTTGAGCTAACGTACGCTAATGTGATTGGCATGACTGTTGTAAGTAACAGCAAACTTTCCAGGACATAGACATGTCTTATATGGGCAGAAAGCTTAAATTATTGTTAATCTAACTGCACTGTCCAATTTACAGTAGCTATTACAGTGAAAAAATACCATGCTATTGTTTGAGGAGAGTGCACAACAACAAAAAACTTATCACGGCAACAGGTTTGATACATTCACCTCTGAAGGTAAATAATGTACTTACATTTAGTAATCTTGCTCTGATTTGTCATCCTAAGGGTCCCAGAGATAAAATGTAGCATAGTTTTGTTTGATAAAATATTTTTTTTTATTCAAATGTAGGAACTGGGTTCTACAGTTTGAACCCCTGCTGTCTCTGGCTCCACACCCACCCCGCCCGGCCATCTAGATGTGTGAAAGTTAGTGTATAAGCTAGTGATCATCATGTATGACATTCCTGGGAGTTTGTAATATTACATTTTGTATTACCATATCATTTTTGTATGTTCTCTATAGTTATGTACTTGAAAATGTATCCCGTGAGAGTGAATCAAATCTGACTAACCCAGTGCACTGCTTGCTGATAATTCTATCTGATGGTGTTTGCATGTGTAGGGAAAAATACAAATAATGTCCCGTTTGGAACACTAACCAGGTTTCCATCCTTCCTTTTTATTCGAGGAAAGTACACGTCGGATAACAAATGTCATGATAGGCCTGATGGAAACAGGAACTCAGTAAACTTTCCAAATGTGGACAAAACAAAATAGACAAGGTAGGATCTTTTTGTGTAGGTGAAATGTATTATACGTGAAATGATGGTGGAAACGCTTTTATGCGCAAATATTGATATAATAACCATCATATTGAAGTAAACTTGGAGTCACGCAATGACATGTTGCGTGGTCTTCCCACTACGACTTGTCGCTAAAGCATGCAGTTTATTAGGCTACAGATGAAATAAGTTATAATGAACTTCACAGGGTGGTGAAAGTGCAAGGTGATGAGCTTGATGCTCCTTTCCAATAAATATTGAGGGTCTTGTTCTGGTGACATGATCATCGATGCTTGGCTGCTGTTTGACAAATAAAAATAATATTTTGTCTAGTATAACCTCATCATGTAGGCTATACCCACACTGTATCTGCAAGCTGTTGGCTAGAGCGCACGTGCCAATACCATAGTGGGCACACTCGCTATACAACTCAATTTGTTTTGTGAGAAAACCATCAGTAGAGTTGAAAATGTGGTGGAAAGCCATTTAACTTGTATTTTTTATTCAAAAACGTGAATTTACAGCAAAAGGTATTTTTATGTGCAATACGTCATCATGCACAGACTTTTATCCGCAACAAGTCAATTTGATGGAACGAGATCTCTGGTGGGAAAATGTGCATATTGTTTTTATTTTGCTCAATTTGATTGGGGGGGCCTGTCTCCCCAGTGTGTATGCCCCTGGTGCTGACGAAGGTGGCCTCTATATGAAACCTCCACACACAAACTCAAAGACGCACTTGCACAATCTGATACGTGCACGCACACGCACTGTACATTTTCAAATTAAGAAAGTGGCAGAGACGTCATCAGGAGACATTTTACATCAAGCCTACCTGTCAATAAAGGGACTGAAGATCTCCCAGGTGCCATGTAGAGATGGATGTCTCTACATTTGGCATTGTTCCAAATCCAATCAATAATCTCATTCACACCTGATTGTGCAAACGGCAGTGTCCTCATTTAGGTGTTTCCATTATTACTCTTAATTGGATAAAGCTACACTCTGTTCTAATAACCTGGTTTGGAATGAAGTCTTTAACTCTTTGTGTTGTTGAACCTACTGTTATAGACAGTCATCCATGAACACTGTTTTGGCAGTCTGTCCTTCAGAGGAACAGCCTAGCACCAATAGGATCAATTGAAGCCAATAGAAGCCAAACTATTTTAAGTGGATGGCAAGAGAGCTATAAGCGAGGTCTTGCCTATACAATGCTAGATGAAACTGTTGTATTGTAGACCTATACCTATCATTCTCCATTGTTTTGTTGCCAGAGTGAAGGTGTGTGTGTGTGTGTGTGTGTGTGTGTGTGTGTGTGTGTGTGTGTGTGTGTGTGTGTGTGTGTGTGTGTGTGTGTGTGTGTGTGTTGGAATGTTAACAACAGAAAGAGCACTGCTAGTGGTTCCCTTCTAGTGCAGTGTTTGTTTGGCTCAAGAGTCTTACCTCACCCAGAATCCTCTCTGTGTCGTCCTGCGTCTCTCACCTTGGAGCATGAAGGTCGGACCATTTTTTTCCTGGATTTGTAGCAGAAGCTACAGGGCCGACTATGAATCAGGGAAAAAAACAAGAAAACCAGTCAAGGCTGTTGAAAAAGATAAGCTGATAGCTTTTAAGGAAATGGAGTGTAGTAGATCACATTTATTAATTTCCATCTGTTGATTTCCTCCCAAGGTTTTAGTACATTTAGTACATATCCTATTTTATGCCCATGGTTTCCCATACTGATTGTTGTAACCCGAGTTGCTGAACTGTACCTAATACAGAAGAGTAGGTTTATAGCAAATAAAGGCCATGCATTGTTTCTCATATTTTTCCAGATTATTTTCACAATCAGACTAGCTCTGAAAAATATCTGATGTGGAAAGATCTGATGTGATTGGTCAAAAGACCAATTAGTGGAAAATATATCAGAATTGGGCTGCCTGTGTAAACACACACCTAGTGGTTCCAAAAGCACTCCGTGTTTTTCTAACTTTGCCATGGGAATGGCTTAAGATTTAGAAGTAGGTCAACAACATGAGGCTGCAATGTTATTTAAATAGAGTATGCCAGCATGTTTTGTAATCTCCTGATTTAAACCGCAGTGCATGTGTGACTGAAAGGCTTGTAACACCTGAACATGAGAAAGGGGTGGAATCCTATAACTTTATTTACTTCACTGATTTCTCCGTCAGAGTAATAGACCTAAGCTGCGTTTACACAGGCAGCCCAATTCTGATATTTTTCCCACTAATTGGTCTTTTGACTAATTAGACTAGCTCTGGAAAAAGATCTGATGTGAAAATATCTGATTGGTCAAAAGACCAATTAGTGGAAGAAATATCAGAATTGGGCTACCTGTGTAAACGCAGCCCTAGTGGCTTACGTTCCAAAAGTAGCACTACAAGAATGAGCAGTCCATTCAAACTACACTCACCTTTTCTTAGTAAAATGTTCTTCATATGTATGATTTAAAATCTCTACATTCTTACTGCATGACTTAAAAGTTTTGTATATGATTTGATGCAACCCTGAAGCCATCTGTGTTGTGTCCATATGCATATTCATATTTAGAAAGGCTAAGGCTGAGTCACTCCTCACATTGATTATACTGGGTGAATCTACTCACCAGCCTTTGGCTCTCATCGGATAATAATAATGGACTATTTGCCCTCAAGTCGGAAGCTCTGACTCAGAACGACTTGAACATTTGTAATTATTCAGCGAAGACCTGAAATGCATTTCTGGGAATCAACTTGAAATCCCAGACACACTCAGACAGTGAAACCACACTCTGCAATATTTAACCTAGTGGAAAGAACAACAGACTGTCTTCATTGCATCTCTAACTCTATTGTTTACTAAGAGGGGCAAGTTTACAGTATACTTTTTTTGGCACGTAAATTCATATTTTCAAGAAGGTCCCTGATTTAGAAATGATCCGTAGTCTTGCTAGTAACCAGTTTTCTATCTGACGAGGAAAACATTACAAGGAACCTGTAAATCAGAAACAGTATACTTTTGACATTGAACCAATTATTTTGGCTTTACAAAGTCCCTGCCTTTGAGCATTGTAGATTGGACACCCCCCATGCATGGCAAAGTGGTAGATAAAATCAAGAAAACATGTTCAACCTGGTTGTCTATCTCTTGAAACAGAGAAGGGGAGCTATTTCCTCTTAACCAGGAATGGCGTGAAATAAAAGTTCAGTCCCTTCCCTCTTCTCAGTCCCCCTTTAAATTGTTAATAGGTTCCAGCTCTGTCTAATTTGAGTAGTTGAATGTCTATATAGAATTGTACATTGGAATTTAGCCACCAAAGTGAAGGCTCCTACTCTGTGATTAAACATTGTCTCTAGATCTTTAATCGTTACTCTCTCGTCTCACTGCTGCAAAGCTGTGTTGTCGAAAGAGCGCAAAAAAGCCTTGTTACCTACAAAGCAATCAGTAAACTCTTTGTTTTCTACCTCAGGGTGATGGGAGTTGCCACTCAGCCAGCCCGACCAAAGGCTTCTTCACGCGGGGGCCCTTCAGTCGGCCCTCCAGTCCCAAGTCGGCCCCTGCCAGGACCAAGAACAGCCCGGGCTCCCCCAAAACCATATTCCCCTACCCTTCGTCCCACCAGGACTCCCCACCCAAGTCGCCTCGTCGCCTGAGCTTCAGCGGCATCTTCCGCTCCTCCTCCAGGGACTCTAACTCCACCTCCACCTCTCCCGTCAGCATCAAGCTCTTCTCCAGGGCCAGGAAAGGTAAGACCAGTTGTTCTATGTCTAACAGGGTTGGTTCTGTGAACCACGCTCATATGTTATGCAAACCTGTAGAGTTGTTATCTCCCCAACTTAATGCCTAGGTTTTAGCTCTAAGGGCTAATACAGTACTGTGGCGAGCAGGAAAAAATGGATTCAAACTCTGGTCGATCACATATGCACAGTATGTGTGGGGGGAGGGAATACAAACTACAACATGGCTCAAATTGTTCCTCTGCTGCTGTGGTAATTAGTGTTTGTGTACTTTTAGGTTGTTTTAGGATGGTAGACGGAAATGCCTGCGTTGTGTATTGGGCATGTGGTTGAGGAGGTGATGCTCGTTCCTGTAGGTTGTGGCGGGTGAACCGTGTGGATATGCTGTCCTATGGGTATTATTGTGGTATCCATCATCATTTGACATAAAAGGCATCATTTAGTTGCATTCTATCATGATTTATTTATTTATTCTATAGTCTAGAGATGGATATTGTTGTTGTCAGAGGAGATGTTCATTCTGGTGGGCTGGTGGTGAACTTGCTTGCCGGGGGGATGTACTTTTTGCTTGGCTTGCCAGCCTTTCGTCTCTCACCTCCCATTTACATTTACGTCATTTAGCAGACGCTCTTATCCAGAGGGACTTACAATTGGTGCATTCACCTTATAGCCAGTGGGATAACCACTTTACAATGTTTTTTTTTTTGGTGGGGTGGGGTGGGGTAAGGGGGGGGTAGAAGGATTACTTTATCCTATCCCAGGTATTCCTTAAAGAGGTGGGGTTTCAAATGTCTCCGGAAGGTGGTGAGTGACTCCGCTGTCCTGGCGTCGTGAGGGAGCTTGTTCCACCATTGGGGTGCCAGAGCAGCGAACAGTTTTGACTGGGCTGAGCGGGAACTGTGCTTCCGCAGAGGTTGGGGAGCCAGCAAGCCAGAGGTGGATGAACGCAATGCCCTCGTTTGGGTGTAGGGACTGATCAGAGCCTGAAGGTACGGAGGTGCCGTTCCCCTCACAGCTCCGTAGGCAAGCACCATGGTCTTGTAGCAGATGCGAGCTTCAACTGGAAGCCAGTGGAGTGTGCGGAGGAGCGGGGTGACGTGAGAGAACGTGGGAAGGTTGACCACCAGACGGGCTGCGGCATTCTGGATGAGTTGTAGGGGTTTAATGGCACAGGCAGGGAGCCCAGCCAACAGCGAGTTGCAGTAATCCAGACGGGAGATGACAAGTGCCTGGATTAGGACCTGTGCCGCTTCCTGTGTAAGGCAGGGTCGTACTCTCCGAATGTTGTAGAGCATGAACCTACAGGATCGGGTCACCGCCTTGATGTTAGCGGAGAACGACAGGGTGTTGTCCAGGGTCACGCCAAGGCTCTTCGCACTCTGGGAGGAGGACACAACGGAGTTGTCAACCGTGATGGCGAGATCATGGAACGGGCAGTCCTTCCCCGGGAGGAAGAGCAGCTCCGTCTTGCCAAGGTTCAGCTTGAGGTGGTGATCCGTCATCCATACTGATACAGTGAGGGAAAAAAGTATTTGATCCCCTGCTGATTTTGTACGTTTGCCCACTGACAAAGAAATGATCAGTTTAATGGTAGGTTTATTTGAACAATGAGAGACAGAATAACAACAAAACAATCCAGAAAAATGCATGTCAAAAATGGTATAAATTTATTTGCATTTTAATGAGGGAAATATGTATTTGACCCCCTCTCAATCAGAAGGATTTCGGGCTCACAGGTGTCTTTTATACAGGTAACGAGCTGAGATTAGGAGCACACTCTTAAAGGCAGTGCTCCTAATCTCAGTTTGTTACCTGTATAAAAGACACCTGTCCACAGAAGCAATCAATCAATCAGATTCAAAACTCTCCACCATGGCCAAGACCAAAGAGCTCTCCAAGGATGTCAGGGACAAGATTGTAAACCTACACAAGGCTAGAATGGGCTACAAGACCATTGCCAAGCAGCTTGGTGTGAAGGTGACAACAGTTGGTGCGATTATTCGCAAATGGAAGAAACACAAAAGAACTGTCAATCTCCCTCAGCCTGGTGCTCCATGCAAGATCTCACCTCGTGGAGTTGCAATGATCATGAGAACGGTGAGGAATCAGCCCAGAACTACAGGGGAGGATCTTGTCAATGATCTCAAGGCAGCTGGGACCATAGTCACCAAGAAAACAATTGGTAACACACTACGCCGTGAAGGACTGAAATCCTGCAGCGCCCGCAAGGTCACCCTGCTCAAGAAAGCACATATACAGGGCCGTCTGAAGTTTGCCAATGAACATCTGAATGATTCAGAGGAGAACTGGGTGAAAGTGTTGTGGTCAGATGAGACCAAAATCGAGCTCTTTGGCATCAACTCAACTCGCCGTGTTTGGAGGAGGAGGAATGCTGCCTATGACCCCAAGAACACCATCCCCACCGTCAAACATGGAGGTGGAAACATTATGCTTTGGGGTTTTTTTTCTGCTAAGGGGACAGGACAACTTCACCGCATCAAAGGGACGATGGACGGGGCCATGTACCGTCAAATCTTGGGTGAGAACCTCCTTCCCTCGGCCAGGGCATTGAAAATGGATCGTGGATGGGTATTCCAGCATGACAATGACCCAAAACACACGGCCAAGCCAACAAAGGAGTGGCTCAAGAAGAAGCACATTAAGGTCCTGGAGTGGCCTAGCCAGTCTCCAGACCTTAATCCCATAGAAAATCTGTGGTGGGAGCTGAAGGTTTGAGTTGCCAAACGTCAGCCTCGAAACCTTAATGACTTGGAGAAGATCTGCAAAGAGTAGTGGAACAAAATCCCTCCTGAGATGTGTGCAAACCATGTGGCCAACTACAAGAAACGTCTGACCTCTGTGATTGCCAACAAGGGTTTTGCCACCAAGTACTAAGTCATGTTTTGCAGAGGGGTCAAATACTTATTTCCCTAATTTAAAATGCAAATCAATTTATAACATTTTTGACATGCGTTTTTCTGGATTTTTTTGTTGTTATTCTGTCTCTCACTGTTCAAATAAACCTACCATTAAAATTATAGACTTATCATGTCTTTGTCAGTGGGCAAACGTACAAAATCAGCAGGGGATCAAATACTTTTTTCCCTCACTGTACATATAACATATTTTTTGGAGTGTGAGTTGGGCTGCCACAATGGGCGCCCGGGGAGCTGTTGTTCGCGGGGATTAAGTGCCTTGCTCAAGGGCACAAAGGCAGGCAATGGCATCTAGGATTTGATATCAGCAACCTTCTGGTTGCCAGCTCACTTCCCACTGGATTTCCCTAATCAGACCCAGGAGCAACATTCAGTCCCTCTGGCATCAAAATGGTCAATGGCGAAGGTGCATAAAGATGGGAGAATTCAGATATGATGTAATTGTTTGAACACTATCCACTGAGTTTGTACAGCACAATGAACTTTTTTATTTATTTTTATTGCGGGTGTCTGGAAGCTAAAATTGGGATCCTATATACTCTGCTAACGACCATAAAAAAAAAAAAGTAACTGAGAGCAATGTATAATAGAGTGAACTCAGCAAAAGAAGGAATTGGTGGTAAGTGCATGGGGGCTGCTATCTTTATGCACCTCCGCTATTGGGCCTGGAAGGCAAAACATGGGTAGACACTGGAATTACCTTATACCATGTGACAGTCCTACTTAGTTCAATATCAACTTTTCTCTCTATGGTATTTATAGGCTGGTCATTTCATAGGTCGATATATATCCGCCCCTCCCCTGGCAGAGTCATACTGCATCAGTGGGCGAGTTCGTTTTGCAATCCCCCGGTGGCCCGGGTGGGCGGAGTTTGTGCAGTTTAGACCATTCCGTTGGTCCTAAATCTCCACCCACCCGGAGCACTGGGCAATGCAAAAGTAACTCGCCTAGTGTGTGTACTGACATCGTGACTCAGCAGAGTTTGTATTTGTGTCTCCAGAGTTTACCTCACATTTGCACAAAGTCTTGACCCAGAGGAAAAGTTGCTGCTAACCCCCCCCCCCCCCCCCCCCCCCCCCCCCGAAATGTACTCTATTCCATTTGTTTGTTTGCTATGGTTCAATGACATTTGCATTTGTTTTGTCTGTCACAGTTTTTAGCTTATATTTGCAATTTTAAAAATGATCTCTTATAACTTCAAATCTCATTTGACATGGACTAAAGTGATTCCTGTTGAAATCTGTGATCTATCTCCAAGTTGTGTTGTTAGTTTTCCACTGCTCGTCGCTATGTGCTACGGTACCTGAGATGGTGTGAGGTGCATAGGCGCCTGAGCAATGGAGCAAACGGAGCAGCTGAAACCCCACTTTCAAAATAAGGGTGCAAACGTATGTTTTTGCACCCCCACTTTTTTTCCCCCCAGAAAATTATCATGATCCATTGGGTAATTTGTCATTTTCAATTATTAATGTTTATATGATATAATAACTAATAGATTGCATTTTGTATGCAGTGCTGTTATTTGTTTCTGTTCATTAAATTCGGCCTACACAATAATAAAATATGCTGCGTATAAGTAGCTCGCATGGTATGAAGTAGCCTTTATGAAAGAAAAGGTTGGAAACCCCTGCTCTAGCCCAAACTGTTGAAATATGACCCATGTTACCGGAGCTACATTTTATTATTTATATTGCAGATTCGGGGCCGTAATCTATCTAATCTATCTAGTTAGTTGAAGTTGGAAATTAACATACACTTAGGTTGGAGTCATTAAAAGTCGTTTTTCAACCACTCCACAAATGTCTTGTTTACGAACTATAGTTTTGGCAAGTCGGTTAGGACATCTACTTTGTGCATGACACAAGTAATTTTTCCAGCAATTGTTTACAGACAGATTATTTCACTTATAATTCACTGTATCACAATTCCAGTGGGTCAGAAGTTTACATACAATAAGTTGACTGTGCCTTTTAAACAGCTTGGAAAAGTCCAGAAAATGATGTCATGGCGTTAGAAGCTTCTGATAGGCTAATTTACATCATTTGAGTCAATTGGAGGTGTACCTGTGGATGTATTTCAAGGCCTACCTTCAAACTCAGTGCCCTCTATTTGTAAGTCGCTCTGGATAAGAGCGTCTGCTAAATGATGTAAATGTAAATGTCTTTGACATCATGGGAAAATCAAAAGAAATCTGCCAAGACCTCTGGAAAAACATTGTAGACCTCCACAAGTCTGGTTCATCCTTGGGAGCAATTTCCAAATGCCTAAAGGTACAACGTTCATCTGTACAAACAATAGTACGCAAGTATAACACCATGGAACCACGCAGCCGTCATACCGCTCAGGAAGTAGACGCGTTCTGTCTCCTAGAGATGAACGTATTTTGGTGCGAAAAGTGCAAATCAATCCCAGAACAACAGCAAAGGACCTTGTGAAGATGCTGGAGGAAACGGGTACAAAAGTATCTATATCCACAGTAAAACGAGTCCGATATCCGACATAACCAGATAATATTGAGAAATGTCCTCTGGTCTGATGAAACAAAAATATAACTGTTTGGCCATAATGACCATCGTTATGTTTGGAGGAAAAAGGGGGTGCC